GGCAGCCTCCCCCGCCCCCTACCACTGCTGGCTTTGATAGAAGCAGCAAGGGTAGGGGGACAGGTGGCTCCTACCTTTCCCCCACCCCTGCTGCCTCTGTAGAAGGCAGCAAGGATGGAGCAGGCGGATCTGCAGAGCCAGAATGCATAAAAAGCCGCTTAAAAGCCAGCTCCCCGTGTGTATTGGCTCCCACCTGCTCCCCTCACCCTCTGCTCTGTTGCCTTTTTAATCACAGGGCTGGGAAGAAGGCGATCCAACCAACGCTTGTGGGGAGCCGGTTCCCGCACCCCACGTTGCCTCTGATACAGGGGAAGCAAGTGTAGAGGAATGCGTGTAATTGACCAGATTAACTAATAAACCCAAACGTATCGGTTAATTGTGTAGTTGTCTACATGTTGACATTCCTACTCAGGCATTGGTGTTTTATCCAGCAAGCAGATACATACATATTGCAAGTAGCATTCATTAATATCCTATCAAAAAAGATTGTAGAAGTCAAATCAACCAAGAAACATTTTTAGGCGTGGAAACCAGCTATCAATCTACACTCATTAGATATTTCAATTATTTTGTAGTTGAATAGTATGGCATATTAGGTTTGTATTTTTACCTGGTGTTTTGGAATGCAGTACAATACTTCATGCTGTTCCACAGAACTAGTCTTAAAATATGCAAAGTGTGCAGAACCAAACTGATTGGGAGAAGAAAGGTTCCACAAATGTATCAACACACAAAGCCTAATATGTTTTGAGAGGCTTACAGATTAGATGGGCCAGATTTTTAAAGGTCTTTCAGTGCCTCAAGATGCAGTATAGGGACCTACTGAGATTTTCACATGGACTTGGACACCTAATTCCCATTGTATACAACCTATATGGACACACATGATCAGTAAGCAGACATACTGATCTGTCTGAATCAAGTCCCAAAGTGGGTCCACTTTTTTTTCCCCCACCTTTTGGATTTTAACAAATATTAAGTAACCATCTTTCTCATGGCAAGAACATTAAGTGGAAGCTCTTTCAGTAGCCCTGGAATTATCCAACATGAATTATCCTTAACATGTTGTAGGGATGCTAAAATGAAGGCTTTTGGTAAAGGTGTAACCGCTGAAGTTTTCAGCAGTTACACATTTACACACGGAAGGAGGGTTGAGGAATCAGGTGGCTCCTACGGAGCTGCCTCCACACACTTCCCCTCTGCACTCCATAGCTGTTTTTGTATGTTAAAAGCCTGCTTCTCACTCCACGGGGGGGGGGGGGGGGGGGGAGGGAAGTGTGTCCTTGTGTGTAACCGTGAAGGTTAACCGATGAGCTCTGGATCATTGGTTAACTGCTTGAACATGTGAAGGATCATCTATTAGTTCTCAAGTCTAAGCCCTTACCCCTGTTCAGGAAAGCCCATAGAGCAGTGTTTCTCAAAGTGGTCCACGGACCCACTCTGAGAAAGCTGCCACCAGGCCACTCCGGTTTGTGTACCTACCAGCTCTGCACCCACAAAGCCTCGCTGCTCCCATTGGCTGCAGTTCGCTGTTTGCAGAACGACCTGGGTCATGCTGCTTCTTGTGGTTCCCCTTGGCAGCCAACGGCGAACCACAACCAATGGGAGCTGTGAGGCTTCGTGTCTGTGGAGCCGGTAGGTAAACAAACCAGAGTGGCCCTGTAGCAACTTTCCCAGAGTGGCTCTGTGGAGCATTTTGAGAAACACTGCCACAGAGAAATAAAGTGAAATAGTGCCTTAAATCTGGGTAGCAACTTCTCTCTGGCTACTGTTAAGAGCAGCAAAGGCAGACTTCAGAGGCAGCTATGTTTATCCCTCTCTTCTCAGCCAGGAAGCAGGCTGCTATCCTAAGGTCCATAGGAAGAGGAGGGGAAAAATCAGAAAATATCTCTGTGTTATGAACATGCCCTGAAAGAAAGTGGAAATAGATTTAAACTGGATTTGTATGAATTTTTTTGTTTCAAGATAAGCACAGTGTTCAGGAAAGGTGTTGACTTGAAAGCACTGGATAATGAAGTATTCCCATTTATCTACAGAACAAATGCATTTCACCCACATTGTTTTACAAATGTCTCAACCTGGACTAGGAAGGAGCATTTAACATGGAAGAACGATTTCATACTAATTCTATCTTCTGGCCACCTGCTCAGATTGGCACTTCTACCAGCATTTTTGTTAACTGTTGTGCAGTTTGTGACAGACATTTTAAAAACAGAAACAGGACTGGACTCACCCACACATTCCATGGAGGTAAGGAGATGTAGTGATAATTGGGGCCTGGTTGGCTTACTCCACCTGTGAGTCAAACCATGGGAAAGCTGATAAAAGTTTAAGAAGTGTTACAATAACCTATAACAATGAATTTTGATGTGAAAAGGTACAAAAGATCAACTACTATAAATTAAGTAGTTAAGTATTAAAATCACATTTGGGACCAGAAATTAAACTAAAATTAGGCTTCACTGGTGAATAAGTTAGGGAGGGGATGGACTATTCCACCCCTCATCTCTTTTGGGGGTACTTAAACATTCTGGATCAAGACAAGCACAAGTGCAACAATTGCTGACTGGAAAAAAAGAGGAGCAAGCTTCACCATTATGAGTGCCACACTCCACAACCTCCTGGGTCACTAGACTCCATCATGACACCACTGGGCATTTGTCATCCTATTCCTGAGAGATGTCCCAACCAAATCAGACCAACTGAGGTATCCAAATGATGTTACTGCTTCCTCAGATGTATTTCAACCACCACCTCTACCTATGTCCTTTTCCTTTCCCATGTTACTTTTCTTTCCTATCCTTCTCCATTTTCCTTCTGTTTAAAAAAGTCTCATTTACTCAGCCAAAACATTGTATTTTGCAGCACTGCTATTAACCTGTGACCAAAGCTGCAACTAAAAGCAATGTCCCATCTACCCAACATTGATAAGTGGCTGATAAAACCACATACATGTGCCTGTTTTTTTTTCAGCAGTAAGACTGGAAATAAAAATAATCAAATTACTTATGTTCCCTACCAATGCTGTTCATCACACCGAACACTTGTTCTACTAGAGTTGGTTCCTGATAAACTCCTCAAATTCTGTTCAGTAGAGCCGTATGTCTAGAAACAAACATTATGTACTTACAGGTTGGACCTCCCTGGTCCGGCACCCTTGGGACCTGACTGATGCTGGATAAGAGATTTTGCAGGACCAGGGAAGGTAAATTTGGACCCGTGCCACCGGCCCCCCCGCTGGCCTCCTCCTACTGGCCTCTCTGCTCTGCCAACCCCATTGGACAGCCATTTCTGCCATGACACTGGGGCTCTGGGCTCTGCTAGGCAGCTGTGTGTGCTGCTCTGGAGCTCCGGAACCCGCAGGACAGCCGTGCGTGCCCCCTGGAGCTCCAGAACCCACAGGACAGCCATGTGCACCACCCTGGAGCTCCGTGACCAGCGGGACAGCCGCGTGCACTGTGGCTCCCTATCCCACAGGCCTACCACAACTCCCAGCCCAGCTGGGCAGCAAAGTGCTAGGTCAGCCAATGCCACTAAGCAGCCCTGCTGCCATGGGCTAGGGCGACTCCGCTGTCAACTCGCTGCGGGCAGCCCACTGCACTGCTGACTCTGCAGGGATCCTTGCTGCTGGCCTTTCACTGGAACTCTCTAGTCTTGCAACATCCATGCCAGACCATGGATGTTGCCAGAACAGAGAATCCTGGTTAAGAGGAGTTTCAACCTATAATCGAGAGAGTAGTACGATGTAAAAGAGTGAAAGCAACTCTGTGTAGCACTCTCCAGATTTCTCTGATGGACAAATTTTAGAAGCAGGCTATTCATGCTGGTTTAGTCATACAATGAATCCCCAATATCCTCAGATAGATGATGTATACTTAAATGATGTATACTTAAACATCAGCAAGGCTAATCCACCAAACATATATAAAATACAGTATATTCTTTGTACAGATTCCTAGAGGCTACCAACATTATTCACAAATTTTAAATACTTCAGCCATTCCACATAAAAGCGTAAAGCCCAGGGACCAAGGGTATGTTTACACCCAGGTGTGCCACAATAGTTTAGACGTACTATAGCAATAGAAAGCAATCTTCCATCACTTAAGTAAAATCCACCTCTCAGAGGTTGTAACAAGGTTGACGGTTTCTGCTACCTAGCAGTGTCTATACTCGGACTTAAATCCTCTTAATTCTGTCAGACAGCAAGTGAAATTTTTCATAGTCCTGAGCTACATAGGTATGTGGACATAACTTCATATCATAGACCAGCCCAGAAACAAACTACAAATTCTTTCTTGGGATTTGTCCAAGGCTTTATGAGTGCAAGTCCAAATCAGTTAATTATCTAGATATACTTGGTTCCCGAAAGCATAATCCATTACTGCCATTTACTGATTGCATATTTTTATGGCTGTAGGAAAGCCAAAGGACAATATTTTATAATTTTAATGAGTGCAGAAGCAAAGGTACTTTTTTGGAATCCAGCCTTAAAACAATGGGAACGTAAGTATATTTTAAAATAAGACACCTTAACTTGTTTTTCAAGGAAACAGACAACAGAAACCAAAATGCTTAAATTTAAGTTAACTGTCATTCCAAACCTCAGTAAATCAGCCAAGCTAACTACATTTTACAATTTCACATTAATGAAACACATTTAAATCAATGGTTCTCAAAAGTGGTGAAGTTATATTTAAACGTTAGTTGAGTCCACTTAATATTTAAGATCTGAATGCTCCAACTCTGTCCAGCCAGTTTGAATATTTCTTCACTCGGTTACTTGATACAAACAGATTTTCATCTCCCAAATTACTTGTTGTTACAAGAATAAAAGATGACCTTATGACAATGTTAATCTCCCGCTGCTGGTGGGCCTGTGCCACTTCTTTTTAAATCTAAAGTGTCTCAAAGCAGAACGGGACCACCAGTGGCTTACCTGGGCAAGCCCGCAGCCCTCTTTTATAAACACTGTTCTAGCATGCACTCCAGGAGATTAAACAAATCAAGAGAACAAACCATAAGCACCTAATTTCCCCTCCAACTGAAGAAATGGGCACAGAGAATTGGTGCACTAGCTTATTTTTCCTTTAAAAAAACCAAAAAGACACTTCTTCGTAACCACTTCATCAGATGGTGCAATCACAAGTGAAAATTAACATAAATTAACTAAAGCTGCCAGAGGATGTATGTCTCCATTACTAAATATAATAGAACTGGCAGTCTCTTGACAAGAGACACTCAGAACAGTCGTGCCTAAAAGGGCTGCAGCTAGCACAACTACTTCTGGAAGCTGGCATAACACTCATTGGGTATGTCTACACTACCACCCTAGTTCGAACTAGGGTGGTAATGTAGGCAACCGAAGTTACAAATGAAGACCGGGATTTGAATTTCCCGGGCTTCATTTGCATCTTGCCGGGCGCCGCCATTTTTAAATGTCCGCTAGTTCGGACTCCGTGCCCGCGGCTACACGCGGCACGGACTAGGTAGTTCGGATTAGGCTTCCTATTCCGAACTACCGTTACTCCTCGTGGAACTGGGGGCTCCAGGGGCAGAGGTAATACTTGCCTGCCCAAGTTGGAAATGACCACTAAGAGCTTAAGCATCCCTGCGTTTACCCCAGTTGTTAGTACCTTAATCAAATACTTAAATGTGTTTTGTTACTGTTTGGAGGTAGTAAATTGCTTATTATTTAGACATATTTAGGACAACAGTGTAAGTATCATGTAGCCACTAGATTTAATAAATACATTTAGGGTTAAACTGATGCCAAGGTAATATCCTGCATAAATAACGGTAACTCCAACAAGCACATTTTTGGCTGCACTGTGTACATATCTTATAATAATCATGTAATAATAAATCCACCCTAAGTGGCCTGAGTTTAGTGAGAGGCACAATTATAGTTTATGAATGCTCACAGAATTCACCCAGTTGTTGCCTCTTCAACTTAGTATGTATAAATACAGAAAGGCAGGAATATCTTTCTATAGATCTATACAGTGCCTCTGACAATTACAATGTCTCACCTGAAAGCTCCACCATAATGCATATTGTTATATAAGTCTATCACATATTTTTGTGTTATTTCCTCACTAAGTAGTGTTAGCCAGACAGATATGGTGTTAGGTCACACTGAGGTCAATGGATAAAGATAAGCATTAAACCAAATGAAAATTACTGTGAAGGATACTTCTACACTGCAGTTCAGGATGTGTTTTGCAACTCTTTGTAGACATACCAATGCTGACTTTGATTTAGTTTGCTTGTTAAAAATATCAGAGAGGAAGTGGTAATGCAGATTTTCAGTTGGACTTCTAAAGCCCACCTAACTCCCTACATACATATTCACTTGAGCCCATTCTGCTGCGCTTCACTGCTAGTGTGAGTAGTCTACACAAGTTGCCAATCTCATCCCTGGTCCCAGTGCAGATATACCTCACATTCAGCAATGCCCAAAAAGTTGCAGTTGTGAACAAGGCTAATATGATTCCGGATTGAATTAATGGGAGTGTCGTATGTAAGATATGAGATGTAATTGTCCCATTCTGTTGGTCTCTGGCGAGTCCTCTGTGTCTAGTTTTGGGGGGCATACCTTAAGGAAGATGTGGACAAACTGATGAGTGCTCAAAAGAAAACAACAAAAATATAAAAGATTTAGAAATCCTGATCTACAGGAAAATATTTTTAAAAAACTGATCCTGTTTAGTCTTAAGAAAAGTATGTATCCTGATGACAATCTTTAAATACTTCAGGGGGTTACAAAGAGGACAGTGATCCTCCATATCCAGAGAAGACAGGACAACTAATGGGCTTAATCTGCAGCAAGGGAGAATTAGGTCAGATATTAGGAATAACTAACTATAAGGGATAACCTCTGGACTAGACTCCTAAGGAGTTGAATCTCCATTAGTAAGAAGACAATGAAAGGAAGTGTGTAGGAGGGACAACCCAAGCAAACGAATCTTGTGGATGATAGGTATAAGTCTGGCTACTTACATTTGTTTTCAAATTAAACAAGGGAATACAATAAACTTCCTATCCCTTACCCTTCTTTCCTCCCTCCACAATTCAATCCACATATTTTGTCAATTTCTAAATTCAGCTCCAGTGTCTTTTAGGGATGTGATAGTGTACACATTTAAATGGTTAACTGATGAGCCTGGGCTAGACAGAGGCTGAAGCACGAGGAAGGGGGCAGACAGCTCTAAGGGAGCCAGTACATGGAGGTTTCCTGCACGCACAAGCTCCCACAGAGCTGCCTTCACCCCCCACCAAAAATTTCAGCAGTAACACGTTTATTCAAAAGAAATGCATTTTAACATCCCCAGTGTCTTTAGGGATGCATTTTAACATCCCCAGTGTCATTCTCTGCCAATATAAGGCTATGCCTAGACTACATGCCTCTGTCGCCAGAGGCATGTAGATTAGGCTACCAGGCATAGGAAAATGAAGCGGCGATTTAAATAATCGCCGCTTCATTTAAATTTACATGGCTGACAGCTGATCGGCTCAGCGCTCGACAAATGCCTCTGATGTCGACACCCGCACGTCCAGACTACCGTGCTGAGCCGACAAACAGCTGATCGGCTCAGCGCGGCAGGCATTTAAATTTAAATGAAGCAGTAATTATTTAAATGGCCCGGGATTTGAATTTTTCTATGCCGGGTAGCCTAATCTACATGCCTCTGAGGCATGTAGTCTAGACTTACCCTAAGGGTTCGTCCAGACTATTGCGCTGAGCCGACAAACAGCTAATCGGCTCAGCGCAGCAGCCATGTACATTTAAATGAAGCGGCGATTATTTAAATAGCTGCTTCATTTTCCTATGCCTGGTAGCCTAATCTACATGCCTCTGGCGATAGAGGCATGTAGTCTAGACGTAGCCTAAATAATGAAACAGGCATTGTGGAAAAAGTAGATCTTCAGAAAGAATTTAAATGAGACATTATTGACTGTGCAAACAATCCAGAAAACCACATTGCATGCAAAAAGAACTGCATGGAAAAAGCATGGGTTATTATGGGGGAAATGAGCAAATTCGGTATTAAAGCATATACATCATTGGCAGAACTGGATGTAATGTAGGGATGTTAGATAGCATGTAATGGAATAATCATGTAACCTCATCAAATTTTAAGTTAGTTACATATTTGATAGTCCCTGGTGTTGGGGCCGGAGGAGGGAGAGGGGGCAGCTTCATGGGATCCAATGCTCGTAGGGAGCTGCTTAAAAGCCAGCTCCCCATGGACACCAGCTCCTGCGTCCCCCCACCCTTGCAGCCTCTGATACAGAGGCTGCAAGGGTGGGAGAGTGCATGTAGTCAACAAGATTAACCGATAAGCCCAGGCTTTTCAGTTAATCATGTAATCTACACATTGACATCCCTAGCAGGGGCGGACTGGCCCGACGGGACACGGGGAATTTCCCAGTGGACTGTCCTCTGAAGGGCAGGCTGAAGGACCGGCTGGCAGCTGCTGGAGGAAGAGGGGGATTGTGACAGGGTGCCACCACCCCGTACTTTAAATTCCCCGGCACTGCATGCCGGCCATCTACAGGGCACTGTGGGGTCGAGGGAGCGCATGTGTGGCATGCTCAAACACCACGGAACAGGTGAGAGGGGAGACGCCCAGGCATGGCGTGACATCACAGCCCGGGACTTTAAAACCGCGCGGCCAGCATTGCACCGCATGGCCCAACTCCAGGCCCAGCACGTGGTCTGGAGCCCCAGAAGCAGCTGGGGCCCGGACTACGGGGACTTCTGGGGCTAGACGACAGACTCCAGTCCCACAAACTGGAAGGCAGAAGCTTAAGGTAAGGTAAGGTAGGGGAGGGCAAATAGAAAGAAGGGGTGGGAGAGAAAGGGGCTTGTGCTGAGGGGAGGAGAGAGGTTAGGAGAAAAAAGGGAAAGGCATCAACGGACAGAGGAGAGGAGTAGAGGAGAGACACAAATGCCAGAGGACAATGAGGAAAAGGGCAGGAGGGGAGGTGTCAGTGGGAGGGGGACAGGGTGATGCTGGGAGAGGAGAGAGTAAGGGCATTGGGGGTTAGAGGGGAGAGGAGGAGGTTCTGGGAGAAGGCTTGAAAGAAGGGATGGGCATGAGGATGGCAGGGATGGAGCAAGTCATGTGTGAGGGCACAGGGGCATGAGGGGACTGGGGGCAGAGGGTGGTGAGGGGGAGGGCACCAGGGAAAAAAAAGGCAAAGGGGGCACGGACAGTGTGGGAAGGGGAGGCACTAGGAGGGTGCAGGGCTAAGGGAAGGTGCAGGTGCCAGGGGATTCTGGGGGTGAAGCAGAAGGGCAGAGACCTGCAGGGGAGGGACGAGCAACAGAGGAGAGCGTCAGGGCGGGTGTGTAGAGGAAGGTGTTAGGAGAGAGGATGAGGAGGGGTAGCTCATATGATCAGAGTGGGGCTACTGGAGGAGTGGGCACAGGGGGGAGAGAAGGGCTGGTTGAGGGGGGCAGGTCTCAGGAGGGCTGAGGGCAGTAAGAAGGGCAGGAGTCTGAGTCAGGACTGCAGAGGAGGGTGAGGAGTTGGGGGGCAGCAGGCACCAGGGGAGCTGATGGAGCAAGGGGAGGAGACATGGCAGCAGAGGTTTATAAAGTATTTATTAATAACTGGGGTGCCATAAGCTACATGAACTCAGTACTGGTGCACAACACAAAATTCTTTCTACTCATGGGAGGAAACTTAAAGGGAACACTTTCCCCAGCCTCTCCGCCCCCAAGTTAATGTCTCACACATAGGGTTAATGCAACCACAGAATAGTTGCATGAGGGGGGTTTGGTGGTGGCCAAACTAATCCCTACTGGTAAGAGGATGGTGGGAAAAGTCCTTAGAGGGGTCACATGACACCTTTTACTTCTGGTCATGTGTCCATCTTGCCCCACGAGTGTTACCTCCAGAGGCCTGGCTAATGGGAGTCAGGGGTGTGGCTAATGGGCATCAGGGGTGTGGTTAACAAGGGTCAGAGGTGTGGCTGCAGGGGGGGCAAAGAGTAAATTTTTAAAAAATTCTTTGATGTGAAGAAGTGGGCCATTCTCAACCCATTTCCCGGGCCTATTTTGATTGCCAGTCTACCCCGATCCCTAGTGTAATTTAATAAAAGATGGGTCAAGGCTATTTAAGGTCTTTGAAGGTAATCACAAGATGCTCGAGCTTAATGTGATATACAAGACAGAGGGATTTACACATAGATTCTGACAATTTCACCTGATGAGTATCAAAAACGATCCTAGGCGTGGTGGCAGCTTATATAGACAGAAGTAGAATATGTCACATTACTTCTTTCAAGGGACTACTCATGAGTAGAGCTACACATCAAGATTTTGCATAATCAGAATATAACTGTACGTTTCACATATATCTTCCTGAATTCAGTTCATATGGCATACAGATGAATATGCAACTAAAAGATACTAGGTAGTATTGTAGGAAAAAAAATGTAATTCTCAGTTAGCCATGCAAGAATACACAATTAAGCTAGTTTTACTCAGAATATTACTAAATGTGTTTTAAAAAGAAAGTGAAAAGATATTCTTTGCATCATACAAAAAGATGATTTTCAAAGACTTGTAATTTGGTTAAAACTTTTCCAGTAGACTACCCAAAGGTATTAATAGCAACTATTTCCATGCAAAATTTCAGTTTAATAACCCACATCAAATTGATACAGATTGAACCTCTCTAGTTTGGCACCCTAGGGAATTAACAGGTGCCGAACCAGAGAATTTGCAGAGCCACAGGAGGTCAATATTGTAGTGGGTCTCTCTTTATTTCTGTTCTGCCAAGGTGAATAAATGGAACAATGCCTACAATGCTGCTTAACAACGTAGGACTGAACTGATGCACATATATAAGCCTTTGTCTAGCCAAGGCTTACCAGCTCTCTTCATAACAAAGTGTTAACGTTGTTACACAATTTTATTGTATTGGCACAAGAAAATAAACAGATAAGAAATAAAAGCCATTCTTAATGACATTACAAACATTTCCACTACTTGCTTGACTCTTAGAAGACATTTGGGGTAAATTAGAGCTAAACAGCAGGACAGAACACTGAGAGCCAGAACTGGTTGCTGTAAACAAAATGTATGGCACTGTGGAAAACTTGGTTACACCCATGATAAGCAGACATCCAGCTAACTAAAATCATGCTGGACCAGAGATGCTGCCGGACCAGAGAGTGCTGGACAAGAGAGATTCAACCTGTACTACAATTGTACAAGACTGAACTGCAATGATTTTCTTTTACTTTTCCAGTAACAAGGATTTTTCCCCCAACTTAGAAGCAAAATTAATTAAATATTTTGAGAATCATACACAAATACTCATCTTCAGGCACAGATCAAGCTTGAAAAATTACATCAAGTTGTAAGACTGAAAAACAGGGTTTCAGAACATTAACTATTTCACAACTTTAACTATAATGATTGCTGTGGCTCTTGGTTTATTAATCATGTTTTAGTTAATCTGGCTCTTAAAATGGAAGTTAAGGATTTACCACTGCCCCTAAACAACAAGGCATAGGAATATAGATTTCATCCCTTGTTTGCAGAGCTTTTTCCCCTTAAAGAAAAAGTAAGACATTAAATAACTTTTTTCCATCTCAGAAACAATGCATGGCAGAACAATTATGATTTGAAACACACACTTAGGGGAGATCCTATCAGAAAAAAAATCAGTATTGACAGCTGAACAGAAATATACATGATTTCAACCAATTGACTATATTAACTTAGTTTTCAATTTACAGAAAACGAAACCATTCTATCAGTCTTTCCATATACAATGCATATCAGTTTTCTGTATACCTTGCTGTCTTTGCTAACAGAAGCAGGATTCATCTAGCAATTCAATTTGGATTTATCTAATTACATTGTCCATTATATTGACTTGGCATAGGAATCACTGAATGGATATTAAAGAGTCTAGTCTGCTGCTAACTATGCACTTTATATTAACTTAGACCAGTGGTGGGCGATCTGCGGCCTATCAGGGTTCTGTATGTGACCTGTAAGCCATTTTGTTTTCCTACTAATATTACTCAATTGTCATGCATGTGAAATGAGGTGCGTGATTACCCACGTTGACTGTGAGAGCTGTGCACTCCCTCTGCATTCACTCAAATCACTACTACGTTTTAAATAGCACACTGCAAATTCTAGGTATATAAGTTCAGTTGGCACAAACGTGTCAAGAATTATATTAACAAATAATTTTCATTCTAACTTACCTACTGAGCTTTCTGTAAACACTGTTAACATCTGTCCTCCCACACTTTGCAAAAGAAACGGATGTTCTCTAGGTGCACTGACTGAAGCAGGTTTTCCTCCAATATCATTGATACTTGCAAGATCTTCATTCAAAGTGAACGATACCTAACAGCCACAACGAACACAGCATTACTACATAGATCGTTTAATTACACCGATTTTAGAGCTTAGGAAACAGGAAGGGAAAGAAAAATGAAATAGTCCAAAACAATTTTGAATTTTATCTTGGATCTAATATACTAATCTGAAATACTTTCTTAAACATTTTCACATTTTTACAATTTACTCAGATTTTTATTATCCATTCTTGAGATCAGAGAACAATTAATAGCATTGCATTATTTTTAAAAAGCCTAAGATAGTTATACCTTTCAGTGCAGATATTTAAAATGTTTCACACAGCTAACACCCCTTTTGAGAAAGTGTATATAGATAGTATAGCTTATATTACAAACAGCTACAAGCCTGATCAAACCCCCAAAACCAGTGGGGTCTCCATGTATTCCAATGAGAGTTAAATGAGACTTTAAGGTGATAAATGCATCTTTTCCCCACTCTTGAATTTTGCCATGTCCCTTCCAACTTAATGGGTTGGTTGTTAAGGGGCATACTGAATAATGCTGCTGCCTTCCCATGTAACATGAAACAAATAGTTAGTAAATAAATAAATAATTTACTCAACTGCTAATATATTAATAAGTTGACTTCACATTCCCTAATACTGTACATTTAACAATACCAATGCATTACTGCCAAATATTATATGGTATATTTCTGAACTCTTACTTCTTTGTTTTTGACTTTTTCTGCTTAATAATAATATCCAGCTCTTATAAAGCACTTTTCATCGGATCTCAAAGTGCTTTACAAAGGGTCTTAGCATTATTATCCCCATTTTGCAGATAGGGAAACAGACACAAAGAGATAAGTAATTTGTCCAAGGTCACTTAGTAGGCCAGTGACAGAGCCAGTCACCCACGTCTCTCAATTCCCAGTCCCATGCTCTATTAAAAGCATTATAACAGAAAGCTTACACTACAAAGCAACATACTTTAAGTAATACTAACATTCAAAGTATAACACATTTATAGCTCTTAGATTTAGTTATTACTTACTTCTGTTCTTCCTTGATTTCTGTAAAAGAAAATATTTAAGGTTTTAGTTTCCATAATCTAATTTCACAGGTCTAGCTCCTTTGATAACAGCAGAAAATACAAATTCTAGTTTGTTACTCATCTTCATTCCTGAACTACCCAAAGATAAATAGAAACATCAACAGAAGCAAAGAGAAAAAAACCCACAAAAACATATAAATATGTTGATGGAGATTCTCTATCTAGATGTGCCTATTTCCACTGTCTATGAAATAAAATATGGTGTTGGAAAATATATCCACACACCAGGATTTTTCATATTCATATTATATATAACATAGCTTCATAGTGATTATCAGTGTATATTTCAAGCTTCATAGAAATAAACACAACTTGTACTTGCCATAAATATTATGCAATATAAGCAGTTCAGCACTGTGATACACTACATATACTAAAAATAGAATTATTACATAAGTAGAAAGTTAAGACTTCCTACTTAAAAAAATATTGTGAACTACTTACTTAGCAATCCTCAGCTTCCCTACTTCACCCCTTCCTGAAGCTTTAGTCCATTGTTGTGACAAATACTTGGGCACCTCAAATAAATAAATAAATAAATAAATAAACGTCACGTGACTATGCAACAGATAGTTATATTAAAGATTTTATTGCTTTATTTCAAAACTCAATTTTTAGTAATGATTTTTTACAGCAATAATCAAAATACACAGAAGACCAATATTGCTTTGCTAAAGAAGGCAAAGAAAGTAAGTTGGCACCAATACTTGATAGTATTTAAACCTTCCAAAGCCTAGCAAGAAAAATCTAAGACATATGGCTTAAATGAGACGAAAAGAAGTGATAACGTATTGCAGCCTTAAAACTAACAGGACATCTGATTGACTTGTGGAACAAAAAAAAGCAAGTAATGTTTTACTAACCTCAAGTCATGCGCTAAAAAACTGTTCCTGTACTATGTTCTTTTTATGCTCTACTTTTGAAGCTCACAATATGTTAGAAGCTACAACAAATCCATTTTTTATTTTTAGCTTTGAGGCAATATCTTTCTAGGTTTTTACTAGTAAAGTCCTTCTATATTTGTATTTATATCCTCTGTAGAGAATATATACAACTGGAGGATTGCACACTTTGTTGCTTATCTAGGCAGAGCTGCAGATCCAATGAGAGAGAGAAGCACCCAACACAATGGGGTAATGATCCACGATTAGGGGTCCTACATGCTACAGTAATATAAATATTACATAATATTAAGCCATAGCCTGCAATATACAGGCAGCATCGGGGGCTCCAGAATGGTGTTACAGATGGAGAAATATATCAGACATTCAGTGGGCCAGATTTTCTCTCTCATATCAGTGGAAATCTGGCTTTTCCAGATTTACCTTTTCACCAATCTCAATAGGCTTCTGAGGGCCTCACTTCACCTAGCCAAATCTGCAGTTACATTCTGGACAGGATTATACAATCTATATGAATACTGGAAATGTCTTGCACAATAAAACACTGTCTATGGCAGATTGTTCTTGCTAAAATTAAAGGAAATGAGATGACACACAGGAGGATCAGTTTTCAAAAAACTTTTAACAATCCTGAATTCACGTAGGAAACATTACAATCTGTTTCCAAAAGCAAAAAGAGAATTCAAATAATTTTAACTTGAATTTTAGAAAAAGGATTCCCCAGTTAAGGTCTGACAGGAGCTCATGAGTAAACTAATAGCATTTGAACAAAACATAGTACTTAAGATTTGAGAGATCTGGTCTTTATTCTTGCCTACGTAGATATGGTTAAAACGCTTCTCTCTCAATTTGTAACATGACCACAGCTGGGCAGCCAGCGATCACAGGCCCCAGGGGAAAGTGTGTGGACGTGCAGTCACCTCTTAGCACTGCCCAGACAGCAGAACACCTCCCCCAAGCCCTCAGAGTGGTGCAGAGTGGGCGCTCCAGCAACAAATCAAAGGGACCATGGCTTCAGCCGCTACCACTGCTACAGTAACAGTGGTGGAAGCCTGGAGCTCTGGGACCCCGTGAATCATCAGGCCCTGGGAAAACTGTGCCCTTTGCCCCACCCTCTGACAGTGGGCCTGCATAACCATTTGAAAAAAGAGAGGACATTTAGGTTATGTCTACACTACATCCCTCTGTTGAAAGATGAATATAAATTTGGCAAATCGAAAGTGCAAATGAAGCGTGGGATATTTAAATCCCCGCTTCATTTGCGCTTCCAATTTGCCTGATTTACTTCCCTCTTTTGACAGAGGGATGTAGTTTAGACATACTCACAGCATTGCCATTTCAAAGTAAACAACTCCCTAATTAGTACAACCTAGTTTTCTAGTTTCTGCAGTCTAAAACATCACAGACAGAGGAGCCAGCAGCTTCCATGCATCCCTGTGCAAGGTGGAGGGATGGGCCTGGCTCCACACTCCTAGAAGGGGTGAGGTCAGGGGCACCCCACCCCCAGCCCTCACAGCCACACAGAATGCGCCAATCAGCGCCAATATAAAGGGCGAAGGGTTTTGGCCATGGCGGCAGTAGCAGTGGAGGAGGCTGGGAGCCCCGAGCCATGGCAACTGCCCCTTTGCCCCCTCCCTGATCAGCAGGCCTACTCACAGCCCTAGCTGTATTTACTTCTATTGCAAATATTCCTAACGCACCCACCACGGTAATAAAAGTCCAGATATTACCTATTTAGTGGTCTTTCTCTGCAATACTTTCTATATTAGCGCCACACATTCTATAAGTGAAACCAGGTTAACCAGAACTGTTTTTTGAACCCATCTTTCCCCCAGAAGTTAATTAGCATTTTCAGCATTGTTAAATTTGGTATTCATTAACCAAGGTAATCTTGTCATGAACTATTGCGGTAAAGCTGCACTACACAAAACATTCTCTAGTCTTTAAAGAGAAATCTTTTTTAAAAGTCACGTTTGAATTGGATTTTAAACCAGGAGTAGAAGAAAACTATGCATAACCTAACTATGTTACCAAACCTCATGTAACATGGATAGGCTTTAAATGTTTTTACCATTATATTATGTGGCCTGTGATAACACAGTAGTAAAAATGCCCAACTAATTGTAGTTTGTAGGCTTAAAAAGAACAGTTGTAGCACAGTTACCAATTTCGGTTCAATACCATCTTCACTATAACACCAAAGCATGCTTGAAACATTCTAGGATACTAGAGTGTTATGTATTTCCACTATATAATAGGGATGTAAAATCCTGGTTAATCAATTAAACGTTAGGTTAACCTAACATTTAACCGGCTAACTGACTAAGCAGGATCCCACCAGGAGACTGCTCTGACCCAGGTGGAGCAGCCCCATGGGCTCCTGCTCCCAGGCCCATGCTAGGGCTGGGGCTGCCGCTAGCTCCCAGCTTCCAGCCCCCACTGCAGCAGCCTATGCCCACAGCAGTCTGGGCTCCCCACAAACAGGGGCTGCTGCTAACACCAAACTAGAGCAGTCCCTGTCCGCAGCAGGCCCCCTGCAAGACTGAAGCAGCCCCCTGCCTGCAGCAGTTACCAGATAACCTTTTCACATCCCTACTATATAAAGGAATTAAAATGTTAAAAGACCATAGACTTGGTCCATACCAGTCATGGAAGTCATTTTTAAGTCATGTCATCATGTCATCAACTATCTGTGAAGAATCATAAAAAGTTCTTGCTATTCCAGTTCTCCTCCTATACAGAGTATACATAGGAAAGTTCTGTTAATAATCAATATGAACACTAGGGCTGTATCTAGACTATACCTCTCTGTCGACAGAAAGATGTAGATTAGGCATGTCGAAATTGCTAATGAAGCAGGTATTTAAATATCCCATGCTTCCTTAGCATAAACATGGCTGCTGCTTTTTTTCTAAACGGAGCTTTTTCAAAAAAAAGTCAGTCTAGACGGGATCCATTGAAAAATAAAGCCTTTTTCGACAGATCCCCGTCTAGACTGCTTTTTTTCCCCCCTCCCAAAAAAGCCCCGCTTCAAAAAAAAAAAAAAAAAAAAAAAAGCGGTGGCCATGGGTGGGGAGCCCATGCTAATGGAGTGCCGGATATTTAGCAATTTCGGCGTGACTAATCTATATCTCTTTGTGGACACAGCAGTGTAGTCTAGACACAGCCTAGGGTCCCCCTTATATCTTCATCTCCTCATTTGAAAACTCCTTGGTTAGCACAGGTAGGATCAACCCATTTTCAACAAGGCTTCATAAAACCTACTACGCAGAAACTAGAAAAACTTAAACAATGAATAGTCTAGTAGAACCTTAAAGACTAACAAAACATGTAGGTGGTAACATGAGCTTTCATGGGCAAAATCCATCCAGAAACTGACACGAAAGAGCAAATTCCAAGACCTAATGACAAGCCCACTCCTTGACTATGTCTATATTAAGGATTTTTCTGAAAATTTCTATTGCTGCTCTTTTTTTCTTTTTCTTCTCCCTCTCCTATTTATTTTGAGTTTTCATATCCCCTACTCATAACTCTGATCATCTGAAGAAGTGGGCTGCACCCACGAAAGCTCATACCACCTTCTACATGTTTTGTTAGTCTATAAAGTGCTACCAGACCATTTGTTGTTTTTTTCTGTAACTGATTAACTTGGCTATCTCCTGAAGCTCATCTACTGTGTCATCCTGAAAATTCTTAATGCAGATAAGACCCCAGGGCTATGTCTACACTGGCAGCTTCTTGCGCAAGAACAATTGTTCTTGAGCAAAAACTTGCCTGCTGTCTACACTGCACGCACATTCTTGTGGGAGTAAATTTACAGTATAGCGTTGTAAAACAGGGCTTCTTCCAGAAGAGTTATTTCTCTCCCCATGAGGAATAAGCTCTCTTGCGCAAGAGCTCTTCCACAAGAGGGTAGTGTAGAAAGGCAACATGAATTTCTTGTGCATGAAGCTCCATGGTTAAAATGGCCATCAGAGCTTTCTTGCGCAAGAAAGCGTCCACACTGTCATGGACGCTATTGCGCAAAAGCACATCTCTTGTGCAAAAGGACATGCCAGTGTAGACACTCTGGCTACCTCTAGACTGGCATGATTTTCCGCAAATGCTTTTAACAGAAAAGTTTTCCGTTAAAAGCATTTGCAGAAAAGAGTGTCTAGACTGGCGCACACACTTTTCCGCAAAGCACTTTTTGAGGAAAAGCGTCCGTGCCAATCTAGACGCGCTTTTGCGCAAAAAAGCCCCGATCGCCATTTTCGCAATAGGGGCTTTTTTGCGCAAAACAAATCTGAGCTGTCTACACTGGCCCTTTTGTGCAAAAGGGACATTTGCCCGAATGGGAGCAGCATAGTATTTCCGCAAGAAGCACTGATTTCAGACAGTAGGAAGTCAGTGTTCTTGCAGAAATTCAAGTGACCAGTGTAGACAGCTCGCAAGTTTTTCCGCAAAAGCTTGCCAGTCTAGACACAGCCTCCCTTGTGGAAGACTTTTTGCCAAGAACTGTTCTGCAAAACAGCTCTTGCGCAAGAAGCTGCCAGTGTAGATGTAGCCCAGGGTCTTAGAAGATAAAGTACGATGTGATTCCTAGCAGGGTGTAAGCCAGGGACAGTGCCTAGGGAGCCTCATCCATCCCCACCCAACAGTGTCTTAAGTCTAGCCTAAAGTTCACACCCCAGCTACAGAAAAGGGAAAAATTAATTCTCTTATTTCTGCCAAGGCTTCCATGATGCTACTGGCATAGAGAGGCAATTACACTGTCTCGTTCCCTGTCCCCCTCGCCAGTGCTCACAGAAACAGAGCGGTAGGGGGTTGCTCCCAAGCGCGGCCACTGAAGGGGCTGGCGCCTCGCAGCTCTGGGCACGGCGCCTGGCAAAGCAGCGAGAGGCCGGGGCACCTGCCCGCTGACTCTGCATCGGCTCGCGCTTGGCGGGGTCCCCGCAGCTCCAGGGAGGCCGCAGCAGCGCGCGGGACCCGCCGAAGACCGTGGGGGCGGCCAAGGGGAGTCTCCTGCGCGCCGGGCGGGCCCCGGCGGGAAGCGGCGCCGCTCAGGGACGGTCACGCCAGGCCGCACCGCACCGGCGGGGACCCCGCCTCAGCCGCCAGGCCCCGTCTGCAGCGCCACCGGCCCGTCGGGGGCCCTCCCCAGGGGATCTCCCCCGCCCCTCGCTCCCCGCCGCGCTGCGTTCTGGAGGCGAGCCCCGTCCCGGCGGCAGCAGCAGCGGGCCCGGGACCCGCGCGGCCTCTCACCTTCACCAGCCACATGCCGGTGTTCTGCTTGGCCCCGGTCAGGTCCAGCTCCCCCTTCTCGCTCATGGCGGCCCGGGCGAGGGGCGCGAGGACACGCGGACCGAGCTCGAGGCGCCCGCACACAATGGCCGTTGCATCCAGCCGGACAGGAATCAACAGCTCACCCCGTCTACGGCGGCCCGGCGCTGCCAAACTTCCGCGGCAAAGCGGAGCGAGGAGGGAGTGCCTCCCTTCCCCCCCCCGAGAAAAGGCCTGATCCCTCACGCTTCCTTTGGCAGGCGTGGAGGGGGAGGGGCAGCGACTGGCACTTGGCGGCGGGGGAGGCGCCCCGGGTGTTGGGGGGCTTAGGGGCCGCCCGGCGCGCTGCAGGGAGGTTTGACTGTGGTGGGGACACCCCCAAGCTGGCAGGTCAGCGCCTAGAGGGGAGTCGCCCCCTGGTAGCTTGAGTGACAGGGCCCTGGAGAAGCTGGGCTCCTGGCCGTGCTTCCTTGCTGGGACAGAGCTGTATGTGGGGGGAGACAGACGTGACCCCTCAGAGCTGCCAGGCCTGGAGTGGGGCCGTGCCCTGCTGGTAGGAAATTACCTACTGATTATCATAGAAACAACCTGGTAGCTACTCCAGCAGCAGGGGGGAAGCTGATGTGTGAATCAATAATGGGTTACCATCATTCCTGTAAAAGCCAGCCACTCTGCAGCATCCCCAGAGCCTGGACAGGAGATGAGAAACAGGCTGTCAACTCAGATTTAGCCCAAAACTCAGGTTAAAAGCAAGCTTTCATTAAGTTAAAAACCTTTAAGGGAATAGGTGTATTTAAGCAAAAAAATCACCCACTTCCATGTTTGAAACTCAGACATGGCATCTCCGAAAGCCCAAAAATGAAATGAAGGGTTTGTCTATCTGAAAACCAGTTATTTGTAAACTATTATTCTATTCCCACTGTCACTTACTTTGGTGAAAGGTTGTGTGTGGATGCGCTTGTTTGAACACAGTAGGGAGGATGTTCAGTATCTTGAAGTTTTGCCCCAGGCAGGATTCACAGATGCTGTTAATTGAGGCTTAGGTACTGAGCCTGTGAAGGGATGAGCACAATGAAGTAGGAAGAGTTCAGCATCTTTTAATATGACCCAATGTGATTTGTCAAAACCAAACAGTAAGTGAATGGTGGGAGTTGTGTCTAAATAGCTCAAACCATATGTTCAGGTTGCACCTGCCCACTGTTTAAAAATGACATGGAATTAATTTCTTCAACTCAAGTGACATTGACAGTAATCTGGTGTCTTGATTTAGTAATTTGAATATGCATTACATTCCTCCTTTTAAATTTTTATGTTAGTTAAGTAGTATAAGTAAACAGGCTAAATGCCCAAGTAACAAACTTAGCTAACAATACTAATTTGGCCAGTTAAGTTGCTCTGTGAGAAATCATTGTTTTCATGTAAGGTGCTAAAAACTAGGAAAAATATGGCAGTGTTATTGGCTCAGCTGGTGGCTCAGAGCAGAAAGTGACAAGGCAGAATTTTCCGTTCCAGCTACAGGCAGCCTATCCAGTCCTGTTTCCATGGAAACTACATTAAGTGGGGCAATAAAGAAGCATTTTCATTAATTTCTTATTTAAAATCCTAACCTTATGTTTCACTTTCCAGTGTTTTGTTCCATAGATGAAGAATCGGAAGCCAGTAGCTGAGAGTTTGAGCTCTGTGTTTCCATTTCTGTTCCTGTTTATATACAATAAATGTAAAATCAGGGGAAATACATTACTAGGTTTTAAATTACAGAGCCTTTACTTCTGAATTTTTCATATAACCAAGTGGGCTCAAGAGATTGCACTGTAACAAGCCTCTTTCAGTGCTGCCTGAAGTCTTAGGACTGGCAGTACTGATTTGCAAGATAAAAATAATCGACGGACAAAAAAACCCGGCATTATCATTAAAATTAATAGGAGTTTTGTTGTGGACTACAGTGAACTTATGTATGCTTCCCTCAGAATCAAAAGGATATCGGGGAAAATATACTCAGAAGAGTTAACACTGTCCAACCTGCACTATGTCAGCAGCCCTCTTAGAAAGGGGTAAGGGTGGCATAGATGCAGGCTGAGAAGGCAATGAAAACATACTTAAGAGGGAGAAGTTTTCACCTGTCACAAAGATCTAGCACACAGTTGGTCACAATGTCCAGAACTACTGATCTACAGGGATGAAGACTATGCCTTCTGCCTCCCTCAGGTCACTAAAACTCCTTGCTCCTGGGGCCAGTGTACAGAGGAAATTCTGCAAGATAAACCCTGAGGTTTCCAAGATTCCTTGAGCCAGTGCTGTAGATTTTAGATTCAGGATGATTAAATATAGTTCTTATACTCCCAAAGCTAAAAAAACAACCTCCCAAAAATGAGGATTTGTTTTGCAAATCCTAGCATGTTTAATGAAACATACCTTTTCAGTATTTACCCTTACTCAGAGAAATCCCCAGGAAAGTGAGATGTTGTATGTAGAAAGGGAATAAAACATAGCATGCATGAATTGTTATTTTACAATACAATGGAATGTATATATGTGCGTATGCGCATACACACACATTTCTTTTCACAAGCATCCTAGAATTTCCCACATCAGGTAAAATTACAGTTAACAAACAGCGCTGACATGGTAGGTCAAACAGATCAGATATAATCACACAAAACTGAAATGCTGAATTATATTAAACAGATGGCTCTTGACTTGTGTTTGGATTTATACACAAAGTAGATGGTGCTCACTGAATATTAATGACAAAATATTTCCATAATGTGGGTGTGTAACAATAGAACAGAAGAAACTTGCTCTAAGAGACAGAAGGACAGATTCATCACCACACTGGCTCATTTGTACAGTTTTGCTGACACAGAGGGACTGTAAATTCAACTTAATTGGCCAAT